TATATAGGTACAGCTAGAAATTAACATTTTTATTTTCAGCATGTATTCTCAATATACATTTTGTTTTCAGGTAGACGTTTTGTACACATTTTGGATACATTGTTAAAAGAACAGGTACGATGGAAAAACTGATAGTCGAGGGTAGAGTTGAAGGAAAGAGACCTAGGGGAAGATCTCCAAGCCGTTGAGTAGATCAAACAAAAATATTGATTAACCAAGGGTTACATGAAGCCAAACAACTAGCCCAGGACAGAAAGGAATGGTGGGAAATCGTGAAAAAACTGTAAAGGCCTGATGATGTCACCACATCCCAAAAGGGATTAGAACTGAGAGAGGAGACGTTTTGTTAACTTTAACGTTTAGTACTATTGTTAACTGTGAGTGACTGTAAAAACAATGGCTAGAAAATATCTCACACAAGAAGAATTGCAACGATTTTGGGAGACAGTGAGCACGAGTGACGAAGAGTCTTTGGATTCAAAGGATGACCCTGATTATAATGCTTCGGCAACGGATACCAGCGACAATTATAGTAAAAATTCGACGCCAAGACATAACCTCACTGCTCCAGGAATTTCTGCAAGCCTTCCGAATAATTCCTCAAAGCCATGAATATCTGGAATTTCATGAAACAGATGACCAACTCAAGGAATATCTGGATCCCCCCAAAATGTATCCCCTGTGTCAGCTAGAACTGCAACTGCAGTAGATAGTTTTGAAGATATTTGATACATTTGCATTTGATACAATAAAACTATATCTTCTGCAACTGCGGAAGGAGAATGTTTGATGTTTGTGTTTTTGTTGTTTAGTTTGTTAGCCATCTTCTATATTTGAGTTGATGAGCAACTAGAATTAACACTGGAGCAAAATTTAATCCATGTGGTTTTGGCTTTGTGTTTAAACATTTTTTTAGTTGTAGCTTCTATCGTTTTATAGTTATTTAGTATAGATGCTGTTTTGTATTTTTTAAGAGCATTCTTCTTAAGCTGTAGCTTAAGAGCATTCATAGCTGAAAGAGCATTCATCATCCCACCAAATTGATTGCTGTCTATGTTTAGGACTGAAGGGTACGTTTTTGTGGATAGAAGCTTCGCTGCTTACATTAATTGCTCTAGAATAGAATAGAATAGAATAGAAATATGCTTTATTTTCACTGAAAATTATTGAACAATTTTATGTACAAAGCTAAAAAAAAAATCAGTCAAATAGTACAAAAAGTATAAAACAAAAAAAATATATTAAAAAACAAAATAACACAATTTTAAATTAGTAAAATTATTGAATAACCTACATAATTTGTACAGACAACAACAAATGAGACAAATTGTAGCCACTGCTTGAGACACCCAAATGTAATTATAAACAATACTAATTTTGTTTCTTTGTTATACATTAAGAAACTCGTCAACTGAATAATATGGTCTTTCTGAGAGATAGATTTTTGTCACCTTACGAAACTTAATGAAGGATGTTGCGGATTTAATTTCTCTTGGAAGGTGATTATAAAGTTTCTTTGCACGATATAGAATAGAATTCTTTACTAGCTGAGTGGACGGGATCGGTAAATAAACGTTACAATCCGAATTTCTAATGGAGTAGCCATGGTCAGGTCTATCGGGAAAAAATGTTTAGATGCTTTCGAATCAAACAAACCGTTTCCAAAATAAATAAAGAGAGGGAAGCGTCAAAATTCCGTGATTTTTGAAGTAGGTCTTGCAATGAGTTGTTTGTTTGAGACCAAATTGATAATGGATTGCTCTTTTTTGCAACTTAAAAATAGTACCAAATTGGGCCGCTGTACTAGAACCCCAAAATAGAAGCCCATATCGAAGATGAGACTCGAACAATGAGAAATATGCCATTTCGACAGAAGATAAATTTAGTTCCTTCGAAACCGATCTTATTGCAAAGCAAGCTGAGGCTAGTTTCTTCCTTAAGGAGTCAGTATGCAAGGACCATTTGAGATCACTGTCAATGAGTGTATTCAAATTAAATGTCATTTCATTACAGTTTTCAAAGTATACAACATTCTTCAGTTCCATTTCAAGAGTGCTCTGAAACAATTCCCAGTTGACCTTCTCTAATTTCCATTTCTTTGTTGGATAGACAACAAAAGAGAGTACATCAATATTCAACTTGATGGAAATAATATAATATAATATAATGATCAGATCCAAGAGTTCTATCCATTGTTTGCCAATATGCTAGCGCAATTGGTCCAAGAGTTATTAGCGTTAAGTCTACAGCTACAATTATTCTATTGCCATCAGTATCATTCTTTGGAAAACCCCATACCCTATAATGAGCATTGAAGTCACCTCCTAGTACCTTCGAGTGAGGAACACCAATTAAAAAGTCGTTCCCATTCTCGGGTGCTTATATTCTAGTCAGGTTTATATAATGAGATTATGTTAATTGTTCTGCCATTAAAATCAATTTTTATACCACACATTTCCAATGTTCCAACATTTATACCATCCAATATCTTATACTTATTTATCCGTAGGCCTAAAAATATAGTTACACCTCCAAATCTACGATCTTGACGATCTTTTTTAATAATTTGGTATCCCTTATAAACAATGTTGTGTTTTGTCTTATAACATGCCTCAGATAAAATTGCAATGTTGTCAATAGCATTCGAATATAGAAATTGTTTAAAAGATTGCGCATTAGATACAGTAGAACGACTATTTTATTGAATTAAATTTACATTATTTAAACTGTTATAATCCATTGGATGTAGATAAATTTTCCAATTGATTTGAAATGTGACAGTTGAACCTATTATTTGGAAAATACCTTAATATCAAACTACTAATTTGGCTTTAGACAAAAACATGGTAACATCGAGCAAATACACAGAATAGTCCTTGAAAACAAGTTCACTCTTTCTCGTACATTGGATATCAAGTGAAATGGATAATCTCGTAGGCCAACTTTTAGTAGATCCCAATATAAATGTGGTGGCGTTGCAGTTTGGGCAAGGGATGATATGAAGGTTAATTCCATTTTACTCGATCAGTACTGTGTTGAAAAAGACATTGAGGTATGTGGGCTGAAGTGGCATTATAATTCAAATCAACACACAATTTTAGTTTGCTACAGATCTCCTAAAGGTAAATTTGATGTATTTTATGAAAAACTTAACCTTATTTTAAATTCAAATTTTAAACCAAATCAATTCATATTTTTAACAGGCGATTTTAATGTAAATTCCATGACACTAAATAATTCACACAGATTTTCTGGTCTTCTAGCATCTTATGGTTTGTCACCCAGGAACTTTACACCTACAAGGTCGACTTCCACATGCGGAAATATTTTGGATCAGGTATATACAAATTGTGATGATTGTGTAGGTACTGTAAATGTAAATACTGAATCGGATCACGATATATTCCTTTTAAGATTGAATTTTATTAATCTAACTATGACAACAGTTCGAAATACTTTCAGAGTAACACATGAAGGCGCTATAGATGCATTCAACAATCTCTTGAGTAAAGAAACATGGCAAGATGTTTATCATGCAACTGATGTTGAGAGTAAATATAATGCCTTTCATGATAAATTACAGTTCTATTTCAATATTAGTTGTCCTATTAGAGAAACCAAACATTACCAAAACAAAAAAAATACATGGGTCACCCAAGAAGTAAAATCTTCTTCAGATAGTCTGAAGGATTTGTATATATTGAGTAAGACTTACCCTGAGCTAAAAACTCTACATAGACAAAAAAAATATCAGCACAAAGTTCTTGTTGAGGCCACAAAGAGTCAATTTTATTTTAACAAAATCTCTAAATCCTCTAACAAAAACAAAACCACATGGGCTGTTATAAATGAACTTAATGGAAAACAAAAAAATCACAAAAATATCTGTCTAAAAATAGATGATACTAGGATTACAGATTCAGATATAATATCAAACAAATTTAATGATTACTTTATAGATGCACCAGTGGATATAATTAGTAAAATAATTAAACCAAATTTAAATTTTCAGCATTCCAATGATTTTGTTCAAACTAGTTTGTTCCTATCTTATGTAACAGAGGAAGATGTCTTAGATATAATAAAATATAAAATTAAAAACAAAGCATCGTGTGGTTTTGATGAAATATCAGGTATAGTAATTAAGAAAATTGCGTCTCAAATTTTGACACCACTGACTCACATTATAAATGCTTCTTTCAATACTGGTGTTTTTCCCAATATGCTGAAAACTTCTATCATTTCACCGGTATTAAAACAAGGTGATCCTGAATTAATGTCAAATTTTCGACCATTGTCTGTTCCATCTGTGATATCTAAGATTATTGAATATGCAATGCTAAAACAACTTTTATTATTTTTAGATATCAACCAAATTATCACAAAGCATCAACATGGATTTCGAAATAAATTTTCTACTTCCACAGCCATTAACAGTTTTTATGATGAAGTCTTACTCTCAATTGAGAACAGTGAAAATCCAACTGCCATTTTTTGTGATCTCAGTCGTGCATTTGATTGTGTGCAACACGATGTGCTCCTCGATAGATTGTACAGATATGGTGTTAGGGGAGTTGCCCATAGTTGGTTTGTTTCCTATCTGAAAGACCGGCACCAAATAGTTAAAGTGAAAAATAACTTCAAGATTTCAATGTCTGATCCGATTATTAATAAGAATGGAGTACCACAGGGCTCAATATTGGGCCCTATATTATTTATTTTGTATATTAATGAACTACCACATGTAATGCCTGATGCATTTGTATCAGTTTATGCGGATGACTCAACAATGCTATATCGCGATAAAGACATAAATTTTTTACAAGATAAAATAACAAACTCTCTGAAGACCTTCTCTGATTGGTCCAGTAATCAGTCGCTCCTGTTCAATGTTCACAAAACTAAATTTTTATCATTTACATCACGTTCAAATTCAACCAAACCTGATTTAAGTATTTCCATCAATGGTGAGGATATTTTGAGTTGTAGTGATGTGAAGTTTTTAGGAGTGACTTTCGACTCTCATTTATCTTTTAAGACTCATTGTTGGAATGTATGTAAAAAACTCAATTCTAAATGTTATCAATTGAGAAATTTGGGTAGAATACTTAGTCTGCAACACCTTCGTCTTTTTTATTTTGCTGAGGTACAATCGACAATAAGTTACGGTATAACTGTCTGGGGTGGTTCTTCTAGTGTAAAGGACGTTTTCAAGGCCCAAAAACGTATTGTCAGATGTATAGCAGGTGTTCCGTATGGTTGGTCTTGTAAAAACCTATTTAGAGATTTGAATATATTAACAGTGTATGGAATTTACATTTTGGAATTATTGATACTAATTCATAAAAATAAAAGAACTTTTTTATGTAACAGTGATATTCACTCACACAACACAAGAAATAAGAGACAGTTTGTAGTACCCTATCGACATTTAAAAATAAGCAGGAAGTCATCTACCATCTGTGGTTTACAACTGTATAATCAACTTCCTCAAAATTTTAAAAACATTAATTCAACTACAGCTGGTTTAAAAACCAAGTCAAAGAGTACTTAGTGACCATGTGTCCTTATACACTAGGTGAATATTACGAGGGTGTATCTGTGAATGCCTA